GTCTTTCTCCATTAACTGGCCCTGAACCGTGTACAATGATCTCCCGCCGTCTCAGCGGGATGAAAACACAGAGAGGAGACACAGAGCAGCAATTGCCAATGTCAGGGAACAGGAGAGCTGCCACTTGTGCTCTGCTTTCATCGAGTGGGATGGGTTACACCGCCTGATTCGGCCCTTTAGCTCCCCTGCTGGTCACTTTGCAGATTTGCCAGAGTGCAAATGTTCACCGCTTCCCGCCAATTTCTAAGAGTGTTTACTATTTAGAAAATGTGATACGCTCATTTATTTCTAATAAAATGAATTTTGGAGCTGACTGGTCAGTTTTACAAAGTTTAATACAAAATTAAAAAAAACAGGACTTTTTGAAAATTTTATCTTAAGATCAGAATGAGAGTTGCTTTAATTTCTATTAATAATAAAAATGATGAACATAATCCAGAATGAAGGCTAGAAAGTCAAATTAACTCAAGGTCAATAAATCTATGAAGATAATCAAAAATAAGTCAAAAGTAGCAGTGGTTGATTTAATCCATTTCTTCGTCTTAGAAAAGTAATGAAAACTGTGTTTTCATTATTCATGTCAGTATTTCTGCAACAAGAAAATGTCAGATATTCTTTACTTTTTTTAAATAAAAAAAAGTAATCTGTCAAATGAATACTCAGGGATAAACTTCATCCCCAAACAATATTTCCATGATATCATTGTAGCAGTTTAACAACTGCATCTTTAGACCACTGGCACCCTCTGCTGACTGACTAAACTGGGTTAGTCGAGAATCTTAATGTAAGATTGAAACTATTTATGCAAATGTTGCTAGAAAAGGGTTTTCTATACGTAAACAAACAGCCGGTTTGTCCCTGAATCTATGCGTTATATGCTGCTATGAGGCCATCTCACGTCCTCAATATTAGTTCTTTTTTTAAGAAGAGACATCTTGGTGCAAGTTCTGAACATGGTCGACCTAATTACAATCACTGACCCTATCCTACTTACTAAAAACAGTGCGAAACGTCCACAGGCATTCTGCAGAATGCCATTTTTAATTCCCAAAATTTTCATCTTCATCACTGATATCTTGTCAGGGTTTAGAAATGCACAACCTCATAGAGAGCATGCTTGGATGTGTCAGTTCCCATCAAACAGACAAAGTCAAATGCAAACTAAAATCTTTTAAATTCAGATAAATAAATAATCTTCACTGAGGTTTTGTGACATGTGGAAGGTGTAAAATCAACAGTCTGGCCACAGGGTCTTTTTTTTATTTGTTAGAATCTGCTCCAATTAGGCTTAATGAAGAATTTAATTAGTGTTTAACGATCATTTAAAGAACAAAAGCCACGGTCTGGATACAACACTCAACGTGTTACTATGTACCATATTTTCCAGACTATAAAGCGCACCTTACTATAAGTCGCACCTACAAATTTTTTTAACAAAACTGGAAACATAAATATATAAGCCGCACCGGGCTATAAGCCACTGGTATCTCGGTTTTCCACAAGGAAGCAGCAGAGGGCAGCAGAGGGCAGCAGAGGGGCAGCAGAGGGGCAGCGTGCTTAACAAATCTGCTATTAAGGACACAGCCCTGCGTCTCCAATGCCGAACCATGGAGTCGTTCACACCAAGCTTACATGCAGCAATTCTATTTTCCTCCTGTACTGCCAGATCGATAGTCTTCAACTTAAAAGCTGCATCATATGAACTTCTTCATGTTGTTGTCCATGATGAGGTGGTATGAGTTTGAAGCAATTTCTCCATCGTGCCTGCTGCTAGCATGTGCTTGTTCCAAATGAAAATTAGCACTTTCTTCTTTTATTTCCAATTTTGACCACCAATGATTCAATACCTGCTAAAGAGCCCCCTGGTGGTTGAAGAAAAATCCAGATAAAAGCCACAGCTTATAACCACGCATGATTCAAAGCGTGGGAAAAAAGCAGCAGCTTATTGTCCGAAAAATACGGTACATTGCTAGAGCTGTTTCAATCAGAATTTTTTGGCAAATTTTCAATCTGTTTTTGTAAAGTTTTGACTTCCTGTTTCTGATTCATTTCAGATCTAGAACCTTGAGCCACATCGGTCTCCATTCTCAATCTGCTAAGAATTAGTAGAAACAGATGAATCCCATTTCACTTTGAGCCGACTTCATTTTCGCCCGTAGAAGAAGAAGCGTGCAGTGCATGCTGGGATAGTTGTCAGAACGCTGGTTTGTAATCTATTAATAAAGTTTGACTGAACTATCTACCTACCAACCGTCTAGAATCAGGTCGTCTGCAGGTCATTTAGCACCACGTTCTCCATGAACATGCTGTGCGCAAACGGAGAAGGGTGACCATCGTCCGGCCACGCCCCGGCCCAGTCGCGGAAGGCTCTCCTCGCTGACCGGAGTCGGACCGTTTTGTTGGCATTCCCTTTAGTGCAGCTCCATCTAGTGGATGCATAATGTAACTCCAGCCTCTACTGTAGCGTCTATTCTATGCGCCTTATAATGCGGTGCGCCTTAAATATGAAAAAAGTTTTAAAATAGGCCATTCATTGAAGGTGTGGAAAATACAGCATTTAAATTGGGCAAAGAGCCAATGTCACACTGTGTGAGACAGTGCTCGCAGAACAGATTTCACAACAAATTTCCAACATAAATATTTCAATGGTTGACATTTTAAACTGATACTTAATCAGTTTGCATCGTAAGCATTACTAAAACAGTAGCCTGTTTATCGTGTAGAGATTATAGCTCCTTATTTTAACTCTGAAATTTACCAAAAGGCTGCAAACATGTTCAAATCCAGCATGTTCCAGATAGTGACTTTACTCTGCTGAGCCTTCCTGTGATCTACTGAAAGTCTTGCTCTCACACAGCCTGACAGAACTGCAGATATGTCTCAACATGATGTAGAAAATATAATTTCTACAAAATAGTCTGCCGTTGCTGTACTTCTCCTGGCTTAATTTCTAAACACTTAAATGATTCTTAAAATAGCAAAATTCAAGTCTTTGCTCGGCAACAGCCTCCACACTGAAGAGTGTTGTCAGCACAAGCTGCTAAATCTAGTGCATTCATTGATCATAAAATAAGAAAATCCAATTATTTAGGTATTAATTCATATCTGATGGAAATCTAAATTAGAAGCGTGGAGAGCATTTATATTGAACTTCTTCAGCCAGTACTGAACTACCACTTGGTACCATTACAGCTGCAAGTTTTATTAACTTTAGCTCCTGCACCCCCTACAGTTATCGCCCAATCAAAGCCTGCGGCTAGGATCCTTGGTGCATGGACAGATAATCTACATCAGTTTGAAGACAACTAAACATAAATACCACAATAACATGAAACAGTATCATTCACCACATATTAGACATTTTTTTAATTCAACTGTTTTCCCGTTTTCTGTTTCAAACTTATGTCTTCTGCACAAATGTTCTCTCTTGTTTGTATTCACTTCCCTGTATAAAGCTTCCTCTCGACACCCAGGTCTGTCTCTGCATGCACAACGTGCTTCCTTTAATTAGACCCCCAAAAATGTGAGTTTTGAAGGAGTTCAAACTCCCTTTGTTATCAAGCAATTCATTGTTCTCTTGATATCAAATATCAAGTTATCAAATGTTCTCTTGATAAAATTCATTTACATTCTTACATAGAATGACCAGAAATAAGCTAAGTTGAATTTTCTGGACATGTCGGTCTGTGTTTGAAAAAATTTGTTAACTACCATTTACATTTTCAGCTAAAATCAATGCTGAAAATTTCTTACCTTAACTGAGTAACAAGTCTGCCTACATTTTACTTTCTCTAATGGAGCCTTTCAATAAATTAAAAATCAGAGCAAATTTAAAACAAAACAAATATTGTTCTAGAGAAAGGGCCTGTATTCTCCTGAAAACTCTATTTTTTCTGGAAAACAAACAGTCTACTCCCACTGTGCTATGGGATTAAAAAAGGCATATTTTTAGATGGCACTCTACATCAGCAGAGCTAATAACAGTGTTTAACATGCTGTATCTTCCAGGCTGGAGACAGAATGTACAGCAGCAGCCGCAGGAAGGAGCATCAGGTTCTGTCATGAACTCAGTGACACCACAACCTGTAATAACAACCACTCCAACTAGATGGCGATGCAACACTTTGAAACCTTCCACTGAAAAGAGCTGGGAGTCAAGGGAGATTAGAGGGGGAAAAAAACAACAACTCTCATGTTACATTTTGGAGCATCACAGTTTTTGGCTTTTCAAAACAACAGAACAGAGGACACACACTTCAAAGTTTCCAGTTCGGCTCCACTGGGCACGAGCGCCAGAGTGTGACAGCGAAGTCCCCTGATGACAGATGGACTAGAAGCAGTAAGGACCAGCAGATGTTCTGGTATCAGAAGTGCAGAAACAACACCCGCCGCCCTCCCTCTTCCCAACATCCTCACTGCCCTGAACTGAGGCACTCAGAGATTAGGACTCTTGGAGGAAAACATATGGAAAAAAAAAAAAAAAGAAAGGGAAGGGGTGAGTAAAACTGAGAACGTAAACAGAGAAGAGGCATAAAAAGAGAGGGAGTGACAAAAGAAAGTGAGAGTGAGCGAAACAGTGGGGAGCAGGAAAGAAGGGAGAAAGAAAGAACTCAGACAGGGGGAGGGAGAGTGTTTTTATCCTCATGTGCACTCAAAGGGGTCAGTGAGTGCAAATGTTTTAGCCTGCCTGTCAAAACCAGTGCGTCTATCATAATGCCTATTCACACCCACCACATGCACACGAATGCATACAAAGTGCAAATGCATAAAACGACTCCAGAAAGCTTTTTTTCACCCTCGTCAAAACTCTGCAGCAGCACAGCAACGTCGTCAACCGTGCATTTAAAACCTGCGTCACTGGTTGCACCACCATCATTCTCATCATCATCATCACCACCCGCTCTGTTTGGGTTTGAGCCGAGGCACAAACCAGCATGGGGAAGTGAAGAGCTGCAGCGTGGAGGAGCCAGGCAACTCTCCCTGAAGAAATTCTGTCTTACCAGGTAGAGCAGGAAGGTGTGCAAGCCAGTGCCAAGACCCACAGAGGAGAGGATACCCAGGCCGACCCAATAGGCACACCACAGCGTCTTCTTCTCCATGTAGCGCACGTACTGCAGAGGCCAGGGAGAGGGACAGTCCACCACATGGCAGAGCCACATGCATGAGTGCGAGGAAAGAGCGTGGGGGGGTGGGGGGACGTGAAGCGGAGGGGGGGGGGGCGCGAAAGGGAGGGACAGGCACAGAGAGAGAGAGAAGGTACGTGAGTAAAACTGAAAAAAGAAAAAGAAAACGGAGGGTGCTTTGAAGGGTGGGAGAGGGCAAGTGAGTAGGAGAGGAAGAGAGAAAGAAACCTTTAGAGGTAGAGGTTGCTGAGTTTTGAGCGCAGAGCCGTAGGGTAGGAGTGTTCAGCACTCAGAGAAGAACAGCACCATTATTCTTTTTTTTTTTTTTAGTGGCAACTAGCTCTTACACAACAAGTACAGTAAGACAAGCCAAGATCCATCCGTCTGTCTCCCACTCTGTCTCTTTCTCTTTCTGCTGCTGCTGTACTACTATCACTCCATCGCTCCGCTTACACCTCCTCCCTTGAGTCAGGGCAGGTTGTTTCCAGGAGGAAGCGTCAAGACCCCAGATTACGGGAAAAGAGGAGGGGACTTTAAAGGGTTTGAAGGGAATGTGTGCAGGGAAGTGGGGGGGTTTACCAAAGACTCAATTTCCCAGGAAACCCAGCAAAACAAAAAACAGCACATACTGTCTCTCTGTTTGCTGGCAGAGTGCTGGGAAGTGAGGGGCCAGCCATGAGGAATTGTTACGTGCAGTTACTGAGAAGTGATTACACAACTCCGAGGTCTTTGCGTACAATGTTGAAAAAAAAATAAATGCCAATGGGATGTGAAAAATATTGCAACTAAAGCAGAGTTGGTGGAAAAAAAAACAAAACAAAAAAAACTAAGTGGAAGGGTTGTATGTGGATCGACAGAACAACCTGCTGAGCTTTTAGGGGAGTTGCAAAGAAAGAAAGCAAACATGATGCTAGTACATTCACTCATAAATACCCATTTATAAGTGCAGAGAAAATTACCAAAACTAAAACAACAAAAACAACATTTCTCACAAAGTATGTGCCTTTTAGAACTCTAGTACAATAATTTGTCATGCATCTCCTCTGCAGTTGAAGCAAGCTGGTTACATCACAGACAGTCGCTATGGTATTTTTACATTCACAACACATGAGGAGGTCAGTCACCTTCTGATGTGGTCCCTCAATATGGTAAGCAATAGAGAGAAGGATAAGCAGCATCACAAGTCCAAACACTGTCTGTCTTTGATGCCAAAGCCTGGGTAGAGGAAAAAAAAAAAGAATGAACACAGAAAATGTCAAACAAGAGTTGTGTTTATATGCAGAAAACAAACCAAAGACTCATGATGACTCTTGAAATATGAGTGAGTAACAGAGAAGGATTTCATCTGTGGAAAAGAGCAATAGTTGTTTGAAAGTAGTCAAGCCTCAACAAGTTTTAATCAGTTCTGCTCTTAGATGGATTTTCATCATCATTCATTAAGTACTTTATGAGGAACGCCCTTTAATTTAATACAACCCAACTCTACCCTGAATTACGCTTAAATGCTAACTTCACTAGTAGAGCATAGAAAAGAATGCTGGCCTTGCCTTTTTTTTGCCCTTTGACGGTCATATTGAACAATGGCAGCTGAAATATTGAGAAAGTTTCTTGGCTTCGTTTACCGACGGCAAGATAATGTGTTTGTCGGGAGCCTCTGCGTCGTGTCTGAATTCACCAAATAATTCAGAGGTGTTGTGCATTTGGCGAATTTCACAACCTAGCTGCAGAAACTATGCGCAATGCTAACTGAACTGCTAGCATTTGCAAAACAGGTAATCCAGGAATGCCGTTTATTTTCCTTGGCACTGATTGGTTGCACCCCCAAAAGTGGAAATGAGGAAAGCCATAGGTTAGCTGCTGTGGTAGTTCCCACTGTGTGCATTAGTGCATATTAGGGTATATTTGGTGTGTGAACTATTTTTAAAAAATGCAGTTATAAGCATTTTTAGACGAGGTTTCAGTTATTTATAAATTTTAGCTGTTTGCCACCACTTGTGTTGTTCCTAAGCCCTGCGGATACCGGGGGTCTTTACTTAATCTGTAAATATATATATATATATTGCTGATTTTTGTGTGTGTATGCGTGAGCACTTGTTTCATTAAGTGACAAACTGTCAGAGTTGGATCAACTTATCTCTAGATGAAGATGGAAAGCAAAAAAGTTGAAGGCAAAAACCCCAATATTCAAATTATTGGAAGATAAAAGGGGGGGCTCACCTTACAAGTTTTCATGACAAGGAAACCAAGATTAGAGCTGCAGAGGGCTGGTGCAAACCTTAAGGATTTTAATAATGTCCAATAGAAAGCCATGTATTCAAAGGTTTTGGGGTCAGAGAGGCCACTCAGAGTGCTCTCTGAACAGCATGTTGATTGATTATTCCTCCCCCACTGAGGTTTCTAGTTCTATTTTGAGCTACAACTAGGACAGATGTCCAAGATTTTAGACCAATAGATATAACTGTAGATTTGGAGACTATAAATATAAAAGTTGAATTTTACAGAACTCTCATGCCTTCACCTCCATTCAAAATTTACATGATCATACTTTAAAAATTAAGGCTTGACAAAAAAGGATAGATAAGCTTACTATAGCGATGCAACCAGCAGTAGTTCACCAAGCTACCATTTATTTTTTAAAAAGTTCAGAATGTTTTTTCTTGGCAGTCCAGACACTAACTACCTCAATATATCAAGTTCTGTAGCGACCTGGTTACGAGTAATTTAAATCTGGTGTGTTAGAACAGGAAATAACGGAGAAGTCCAAAAGACTAGAGCTGGAGACTCCAGTCATACTTATAATTTTGATTTTAATGTGGGTAAAAAGGCAGGATATACATCTGCTAAGTGCAGCTGTATATTTCTAAAATGACCATGACCAAGAAAACAGTCAATGAAAACAAAGTTAATTTACCAAATAAAGAGAATCGCATTTCTTTTAAGTTGAGGGATGTATAAAGATTTCTAGTTAACACCTTGTACAGTGACGGTAAGATATTTGAACATGGTCTGAGGCAAATCTGTGACGTTTTAAAGCTTGTAATGCGTTTACTGATCATATTTATTCCACATTTCCCTAATTTTATTCTTTAATTCGCACATTTGAATTGTCAGTTCACCACTTCCAAACTCACCCAGTCACAGAACAGCAATTTAATAAGATATACACCTTAAAACAATTAGACTTTGCAGATTAAAGCTACGGCAAACCCCCGGTTGTTCCGACTTTCATGCGGACATGGGTGAGTTCAGTAATTCCTAAATGCCAGTTCTGAAATCCGAGGCAAGTGAAACACACGAATCATCCAGAAGACTGACAATAGAGCTGTCAATAACTGTAAACTCAACTTAAAAACACAAAATTATATAGGAATACATAGATGTACTGTCAGAGGACGTTGCCTGTCTGAAAGTAATGTTAGCTAACTAGCCTAAGCTAGTAAGAAAGCGTAAGTAAAAGGCAATAACGTCTGAATTTTTCTAATCTCTGGGAGATAGCTAAAGCAACATTAGCCCCCGTTTTTGCGATTTTCCTTGATAAAGAACCTTAATGCAGGAAAAAAAAAAACTGGCTGTGATAGGTTTAATAAAATTAGAAAGTTTACAGAAAGAGCCGGTGAGGGAACTCACGTAGCAAATGGGCGGTCAGCTTTTATAGTGAGGCAGGAGCGGAAAATGAGGCAGGCTAATGCCAGATTAGCTAATCAGATGCAATGAGGAACAGCTGTGGCCGAATACAAGCATGGGAAAGAGAGTAATCAACACAGAAAAGAAAGAAACTAGAGAACTAAATCTAATTCCGTAAAGAATGTAACACAAAAATAAACTAAGGAACTAAACACAAAATAATTAACAAAAGGGCAAACACCATTCTAACAATAATGAACAGAGGGAAATAAACTAAATGTCACAAGACCAAAATGATAATACACAATGATGAGATTAGCAAAAACCCAAATAAAACCAAAACCCAATACTAATTCTGATTCTGACAGTTTTTTAAAAATAAATAAATAAATTTATGCCTGTTTCTTACCAATTTGTAGCTGCCACCAGCAAAGAAAGTCATAGTATCTTGCTTTATTGCTTTTTTTTTTTTTGTAATTCTACTTCCAGCTAAAACTCACCAAGTAAATGCTACCAAATCCTATCAATGCATCAAAATGTCAGCTATTCATGGCTCTCATATTGGGCAGTGCAAGTATAGAAGAACCTGTAATTGCAACCAAAGTTGCTTTGTAGACAAAAAAAACTCATTTAAGATCTCTCCAAAGATAGGTATTCTTTGGAGAATACCTATTACCGCAAAGTGGACAGCAAAGAAGTAGGACCATTTGCTGGTGGATTCTTATGTGTTGTGTTTACTTCTGAAGATGGAACTTGGACGTGGCCATAATGTCCAAGCTATCTTCACCGTTTTTGAGTTTCAAGTTGGAAAACCAGAGGGACTTCCCCAGTTTACCAATGTTAGTAATACATGCTAATAATAGCATTTTGTACTTTTAAACTGAAAGGTTGCTCAAGGTTGAATTGCACATCACTAAGCTCATGCAGGTCCAGTTCAGGGATTCTGGAAAGGAGGGTGTGCCAGACAGTCGAGTCCTCTTCAGAGGGGGACAAGTGCTATTCAAAATGAAACGAAAAGGCGGATAAAATTTTCTGAAGACAAAAATGATCAAAGTATAAAATTGGCAAGGAAAATAGATAAATAAAACAAGTTAACCTAAACTTTCTTCTTAATATAGAAATTAGTTTAAAAAGAAAGGTTTGTGATAGGATTCCTTACCAATCCCTCCCCCACACAATCCATTCACTGGTTGAAAAACCCTTTTTATACTGTGCCTTTACATTTTAGAAACATAAAGGCACAGCAACAGACAGCTTGATGCCCCAATGGATAATCTGGGGCATGGATAATCTTTATATTATGCACCACTCCTAAAAACAAGTAATAAACTTCTCTGCACCCTTGCAGCCCGTAACGCTCTCATCTACATGCCAGCATAGGCAGTTAGTACACCACGTGTCTGGAGCGTTGGGTAAATAGCAGCTTCTCTAAGGCAGAACACTGCTTGTGGTGCTTGTGGCTCACCACATCCTCTTGTAGTTTTAGCATAAACACGTTGTCCTGACGCAGTTAACCGCAAGGGCCCCCCCGAGAGTACACTCTGACCTTCTTCTGGGACCTCGGTGTCAACAAAGATTATTTAGCAAGTTGAAGACATTCTGTACTCTACGTGTAACGTGCATCAAGGCAACGACTGACGTAGTTTGGTGTGATGTTGTTGCTCGGCAAGTACGAAAACAGTAGTTTGCAGGGCAGAGTTATCCTTCCCAGCCTTTAAGTAGGGTAATTATGAGGAGTAATAGAGACAGATAATGATAAGAAAACCATGCAGTGTCTCCGTTGAAGTGTTAAAGGCATTTGGCTGAGTCTAAACTATGAGACCTGGGCTGATAACTCTGAGACGGTCAAGGTCAGCAGTAGTCTGATGTCTGGATGTGTTGTGTGAAAAAGCGTCAGAGTAATGTCAGATGGCCGTTCTTTCACAGTTGCTATTTCCTCTGCTTTCACGAGAACAACTGTAGCAACTTTAGTGCCTCTTTGTGAAAAAGAAACTCATGTATGGGCTGCAACCTCTGCAACCTCTTGATGTTATCAGCGACACGGCAACATAAGAACTAAGACAAAAAGGCTTGTTTTCTAGGTTCTGCTTTCTTGCTTTCTTGGTCATTTGGCCTTGTATTTTACAGTCGCTTTTAAAGACTGAATTTACACATCATCTATTTAATTATTACATTGTTTATTAATTGTTAATGATGTTTGCATTAAAGTATAGGTTTGGGTTGTGAGAATTATCCTAAGTTTTTTAACTGTGACACAACTGCAAACCTGCTAAGTCATGGCTGTTCACCTAAATTGAGAGACCTGCCAACTACACCATTAATCAGATAATCAGTCAAGAATGCAGTGGTAACTCTGGAGGAGTTGCAAAGATCTAAATCTCAAGTGGAAACAAAAAAGTTGACAAAATTCAGATTTTTATTTGCAAAAGAAGAAAAACAGAATGAGTACTTTGCTTCCCCTTTGTAATTATGTCCTACTTTGCAGTCACATAAATAGCCCAAGTCATGGACAGCGACAGTTTAACCTGTTGAGACAAATCATACCTATGTTTTTGGCAAACCTATCGACAAGGCAACACCATTTCATTCGAAGCCGAACAGTCGACGTGTTGCCATGTGGTGTCGGCACGTTCATATTTGCACACGTTTCACATAACAGGTCCAGACCGCCTGCATCCTCTGTTTTGCTTGAAAGAAATGGTCCCAGCGAACACCACACGTTTCCACAGACTGATTTGGACAGTGTTCTGTCGAAATAGTTTGACCCGGGCCTGGTGTCGAGCTCGGCAGGCGGGATGCCTCTCTACGGGAAAAAAATGACTAAGACATTTCATGCTCCCAACAAGAACTTGGGTGATCTGCACAGACCTGGAAGACCTGTCGAAGGAATTGGAGCCGAGAAAGACCTTTTCATCCAACATCAGTGTCTGACCTTGAAAATGTGCTTCTTTGGGAATGGTCAAAAACTTTGATGACTCTCCAGAACGTTGTGGAAAGCCTTCTTAGCTATCGTAGTGACAAATGGTGGAACAATATCACAATAGGCCCTACAGATGAAAATTGGGGTGTCACTAAAGCTTATAATGTGAATAAAAGCGTTCACTTATTGTGTTAGCCTGTGAATTGGAAAAGGACAGCATCGGCCGTCTGGAGATTTCAGGTTTTCTGAAACAGGGACATGTTTTAAGAGGAGGTTGCATCTCTCCTTTTGCTCCTCACCTCCACATCCACCCTTTAAGAGTGATGAACAGCTCCAGGGAGAAGTAGTAAAGTGTGAGCAAAGGCTTCTTCCATAACACCAGGCTTTCATGGTCTTCCCTGTCTCTCTGCTTCTTCTCCTCTTCTGGAAGATCTGAGTCTAGACCACAAAAAACACACACAAATAAGAAAAGCTTCTTACACATTAAAATAAAAAGTTTAAATGATGTACAACTCATACGGATATGTTTTAGCACCAGTGGACAAACAAAGGTATTGTAAACCCATTAAGACCTTAGATGTGTCCAAACATTTGTTTTCCTCTTTCTGTAGATCAGATGGATTTTGAAACAAGTTTTTATTCATAAACTTTTCAGTGCCGTGAAAAAGTATTCTATTTTCTGTTAGGATCTTGGGTTGTTTTGAGTTTTAAGCTGGCTTAAACAATGCAGGGTGCGAGTCTTTTGAGGTTCCAGTGTCAACCAAGTTAATATTATGATGATTTTGATGCGTAATTTTAGTTTTCTGGCATCGTGAATTTTGTATTTATTAAAAAACTTTCACATTGGCATCATCTGACCAGAGAACTTTAATCAACGTGTACTTTTGAAGGCAACTGGCTGCACTGGATTTTATTTTTGGGTTTCAGGGTTAGTGAGGTATGTTACACTTTCCTGTCTCATGAAATCTTAACAAAACTCTCACCGTGACATGAGGAACTATGCATTTTGATGGCATGTGAACAATTTTGCAGGGCACTGCATCTTGTAAAGCTCCCCGCACTCAGATTTTAAACATTTGTATTCAGTCTTCATGGGTTTAACAGTCGTATTAGCTGTTGCCCAGCTGTAAATTAGCGTTACCTGTGAGTTCTCCGTTTTTATGCTTCTTGTCACCAAGACGCCTCTGAGGTTGCTCGCTTTCGGCCCCGCACTCTGCCATCATTCTCCTTCCGCTGACAGGGAGTCCTGCTGAGGCAAGAGTGCATCACGCAGGCTGCTCGCCAATCTGACACGGGTCCTAAACAAACACAGACTCACACGCAACCACGCATCGGCCCAAAACCTTCTGAAAGAACCTCTGCCGCTCTCCAGCCGAGCAGCCACTGTTTTCCTGCGTTTTACTGGTAACTCTATCTGGAATGTGTCTGATTTAATGACTGCTTTGAGTGGCATATGGTACTGACACTGAGAGCACATGAAAGAGAGAATTCTTGTGTTTTCCGTGCCTTCATCATTTTGCTATATATATATATATATATATTTTTTTTTTTTTTTTTTACACGGTCTCTCCGAAGGGAAAGGAATTCTAATATTCTCTCAGTAAACTGAAAGCACACTCAGAGGTCGTCCCGTTACAGTCAAAACCACATCTTCAGAGTCAGAAGTTCATATTTTTGTCTTTTGCATTGAGTGGAACCATCTTTAAACTGTCAGGCCTTCAGGGTATCCTTCTAGTATGTTTTTGTTCTAGTTTCCAGTGCAAATATTTTTGCACTGGAATTAAGACAAAACTAACTTTTTAGTGAAGTAACGTTTTAGCACGATAACTTGTTTTAAGACACTAAATCCTTAAGAACGATAGAAAAAAACACTAGTTCCACTGGCAGAACATTTCACTTATGAGATCTACCAGATGTACATTTTCATGCTAAAAAGTTACTTTTCAGCAAGTTAGTTTTGTCTTATTTCAAGTTTACTATGATATTTGTACTAGAAAGTAGACCAAAAGTATTTGGTGAGACTTTGTGTCTTTGCAGTGAAGCTTCTCACAATAATTTGCTGGTTTGGGGGATGCACCGATAAATTGGCCCCAATTTCTTTAATTTGTGAGATCGGTAATCGGCCGATACTTGCGTGAAGCTGATTTTTTCCACTGATCATATCGAAAAAGGTTTAAAAATCCACCGCTGTCCCCCTCTGCTCTGCCGTGAGAGAGGTTTGACAGAGATCCACCCACCAGGTCATGTCTGCACATTTGCAGTTAACAACAGTCATCCCACTGTTGCCAAATCAGCCACTTTACTTGTATATTTAGCAACATTTCAGACAAAAAAAAAAATCATTATCAGCCAAAATCGGATTTGACAGGTCAGGCTTTTTAAATATCAGTGACCAGCCAGAAAACTGCAATCGGTGCATCCCTGTTTGCTGGTATTTTGACCCATTCCTCCTGACAGAACTGGTGGAACTGGAGTCAGGTTTCTACGCCGCCTCGTTCCCACACACCTTTTCAGCAAGGTACACCAATATTCTTTGTATCTGAGATCAATGCTTTGCAATAGCAGCATCAAAACAGTTGCTTTGTTCTCCTTAAATCCTTAGACTCCCCTTCCACTTGCACCCAACCTTGAAATCTGGCCTCAAGATTTCCAAGTAATATTCCTTCCTCATGATATCATCTATTTGGTGAAGTGCACCAGACCCTTCCTCAACAAAGAGCACACTCCACATGATGTTTCCACCCCCATACTTCCCAGCCGGGACTGTGTCCTCCCCCCTTTATCTCTGAAATGCATGAATGGTCATTACGCTGCAGTAGCTTAGGCACCAAAAACACTCATTTCTGGGACAAGAGAACCCATTTCCTTCCTGCACAGTACGATAGTTAGACATTCCTGTGCTGTTGTTACTTGCATATCAATGTTTGAACAGAGACACTCTCAGGTAACTGGAAATCTTACCCAGGGTTGAAGCAGACTTGTGGAGATCCATAATTCTCCTGATATTTTGGCTGATTTCCTGATGATGTCATACAAGGAAGGAGTGTGTTTGCGGTACAATACACCCACATATGTGCCTCTCTTTAACACAAAATGTTAATTAACTCATTCATTCTCAGAAGCTTACAAAGTCATGATATCATCAAGGGTTTCCCAAGTTGTTTAAAGTTATGGTTATCTTAATGTGTGGGAATTTCACTTTTCTTTTTCCTCATTATTATTGTGGTATTTAGGGAATAGCGATAACGTTGGTAATCCAGTGATGAAAAGATATAGACAAACTTTTGTCAGATTTACTTTCAGAAAGGACAAAAAGAAAAAAAGTCTTTTCATACAGTAAATGTAAACAGATGCTTTCAGTTGTAAGTACAGTGTAAGTACAGTGCCAGAAATGTGCATTTTCTGGGCCTTGGTATTTGAATTTTCATGACATATTAGATGGACTTTAGCATGTCAGTTAATACCATAACATGATCAAAAATATTCTACATTTCGTTTCTGTTTTTAGGGAAGTCTTTTTCAGGCGTTTGGGTTTTCCACTCTGGAGTCTCTTTTACCTCAGGAATCTGTCAGCGCGCAGCGAGTCGGGGAATTCTGACTCTGAGGTATGCAGCTCCCCATATGGTGGAATTGTCAGTTCCTCTAGCAAACACTCAGACTCATATGCAAGATTAAAGTTCTGCGTCCTGTGCTCTAGGATCGGGCCTCTTTTAATATTCTTTCACACAAAGCGCTTCAAGCGTGCAGGATGCATCGTTAGACTCCTCAGGCTTCTGGGGCCGAAGCTAAAGATGGTTTTTTTTAACAGATCTCACAAGATGGAGGAAAATTTATTAAAGCCTGCATGAAGCTCCTGGACGATTTACTTGCCTTCTGTGCAGTATGTTAGCAAAACATGTTACTATTATCTTAAAGAAGAACAAAACAAAATAAAAATCAAGTGATTTTCTTAAATGAAGTTGACTTCTGGTCAACAAAACACGGAGAAGCAGCATTCAGCTTCTCCATGCTTCAACATATTTGATGTGCATGGATCATTTTTTTATGGTGGCACTTGACAAGATGTAGTGTTTATTGCTTGTTTCATATCTGGTGACTGGATGATGTTTTTATGACACAATTTGAACTGCCTTGTTGCAGAAATGTACAATACAAGTAGGTAAACTTGAGCTTACGCTCGACTTAGCAGAGTCTGAAATGTTTGTCAGTATTTATAGAAGCTGAGAAAGTTTAGTAACAGCTAATGGGCTTTAAAAAAAAAGAGCTCATTTGTAGACAAAATAGCCATAAAAAATTCTAAAAGTAAAAGGCTGTTCCTTTTAGGACATACTGAATTACTTTATTATCCTCTCCCAAAGATACAGACTTTCTTACTAATATTTAACGTCATCGTCTTGCAAAGTTTTTCCAACGATCTTTCATATTGCGCCTGCAGCTCCTGTTTTATATTTCTGATCCATTTAAAATCTGGGATCAGATTTACCGATTTGTGTTCAATCTGTCTTGTAAAGCTCCCTGAACCGATGTCTTTAGTAAATAGAATAATATTAACTGAATAGTTAGACTTGTACATAAACAATACTAGACTGTGTGTGCCGAGGACAAGAAAAGACATCAAGTATTGTGCAGTTGCATGAAAAGATTTTTGAAAATATTAGAAAATGACGTAGTAAATTAATTGAGCAATTCAATTTCTTGATAAACTGCTAATACCTGATACATGTTTAAATGCACTTTATAAAAAAACAACAAAATATATTTAGATATAGAATGTTTAATCAACTCAATCCAATCACATTTTCTTCTCAATATCTTTTTAAAGAAACCCAGTCAGCTGCATACAGTCTCTGATTTTGCGTCCGTCCTCCATGCTTAGAAAGCATGTGGCGACAGTGGAAGGAACGACTCCCTTTCAACGGGGAGAAACCTCCAGCAGAACTTGACTCAGTGCGAGTGGCTAACTCTGGGTTTGATAAGACAGATCAGGCACACACAAAAAATATCCAGAAACACTGACCCAGGTGTACTTTCTATGTTAAAGAAAAGGTAACAGCAGCAGCTTCTTTAACTAAACAGATGAATTCTGAATCACTGGGATGAAAATGATGCTTACGTATAGTTAATGGAATCAAAGCTCAGTCAATGGATAACGGATTTAACATAGAGAGACAAAGTCGAGGTGACACAACTTAAAGCAACAGGCAAGATGTTGCTTGTGTGAAGAAAAAAAAAGACAGAGGGGCCATAAAGTTAATTACAGCAATAACTGCAGGTTAACGCATGTCGGGAGAGGAGTAGGAAAAATCATCAGAGTGAGAAAACGGTCATCAGGATCCTAAGCCTGTAGCAGCATAAGCCTAAGTCGCTGTAACTATAAGCTTTACCAGAAAAGGAAAGTTTTAAGCCTAAATTTTTAGCCTTACAGACAAAAATTAGGAGCTGCTTCTATAGCAGGATGATAACTAAAAGATTCACTTTACGTTTAGAAACTGTAAGAACCACCAGTAAAGTCTGAGAGCGAAGTGCTCTGTTGGAAACATCTGGACCAATCGGATCTCTGATGTTTGACGGAGCCGGAAAATAAAGCGCTTCATGTGTAAGATAGAACATTTTTAAATCTATTTTGCATTTAACAGGGAGCCAGTGAAGAAGAACTAATATTGGTCCAACTTTTCCATGAAATCATCCCAAATCTTGGGTAAGCTGAAGCGTTTTTAATGAATTTTTGGACTTCCAGGTAGTGAGGAATTGCAACAGTCCAACCTTGAAGCAACAAACTTATGAACCAGCTTTTTTGCATCACTCTGTTCCACAATATCTCTCATTTTTGGGCAATATTGTGAAGGAGAAAGGAGGAAGTTCTAAGATATGGAATTCAAGTGAAATAAAAAAAAGAAAGATGTATAGATATGTGTGTGTGTGTGTTATATGTGTGTTGCAGTGAGCAGAGATTGATTTTTATTTGAAATTGTTTGTAGATCCATTCTGATATTTTTTTTTCTTGAGGATTGATTTTAGACTATTTCACCTTGCAGTCAAGTGAATACCATTATAACACAGGTGAAAATAATAATTTTAAAAACATATGACGTATTTCAGGACCCTGGGCTTTCGAAAGGAACTGCAAACAAAGGCTTTTCATCAGCTTTTAAGTCTTCGGTACACACCACGCCTTAATAGTTGTTCTCGAGAAACCCTGTAATTTGTTTTTTTAAGGCCGCGGAGCAAAGCAGGTGTTTAGGAAAATGGCTTAACACTGTGCTTTAGTGCAAAATATCCTGGTTGCGACTTCAGTCGTGAGAACAGTCCACGCAAAAACATGGCCCTGTTTACGTGGCATATTATCTGTGATATAGAACAGCTACTTCACCAAAAGCGATGCCTAATAAATCGTTTTATAACACCACTCCTGGCTGTGAGAGGCACAGTAGCACAGCCCTGCTCCAGAGATTGCACAATCCCTCTCCTTCCAAAACAACCCTGTTGAGTAACTCCGGCATGGAAGACAATACCAACCTCAACTCAGGACACATAAAAAAAACCAGGATGAGAAATTCAATCAGCTGTAATCACGTTGCAAGCAGCAGCAAACGCTGAAGAGAGTTTATAAATTCACCAGAGTGTAAAGCAAAGACAGGCCTTGCATAGAACAGTGTTGTGTGTTAAAGCGTTGCATTGTGCAAGAGAGGAAACTCACCGTTACAGCTGGTGTTTCTTCCTCAAGGACCTCTGAGCTCAAATGAAGCCACTGTGTTGGAGCTGCACTGGTAATATAGGGCAACAGTATGTTACCCATGAACTGCATCATAACTTGAGTACAGGGTGTGGTGATGAAGGGGGCCAGCGAGGGATAGAGTACTGATACAGGGTGGCTGAGGGAG